GTCTCTGGAGTATTGGATGCACTAACTGTAAGTCTCTCTGGATAAGAGCGTCTGCTAAATGATGAAATGTAATGTAAATGTGTTGTCTCTGGTGGACCATGGTGGATTGGACCCAACCAAAGTTTATGAGAGCGATCAACAAACCGACTCATATTTACATTTACATTTTAGTCATTTAGCAAATGCTCTTATCCAGAGCAATGTACAGTTAGTGCATCCATTAAGGTAGCTAGGTGAGACAACCACATATCACAATCATAGTAGGTCATAAAAAGCCTTTAAATATACATGTATTTTAGCACTCAGCAATAATGAAGAGTGTTCCCCCAAATGGGCACTCTTTCTGATGTGTGTCTCGACTAATTATCATGTAGAGATTAAAATTAAAGCTCATTTGATAAACTTCAAAGGTACAATAAAGGTAGCAAATATGTGGCAAGCTGTGTTTCTGTTTCCACTGTTCAGGCAAATGTCTGGCATAGTAATGTTGGCCATCATGTATGCACAAACTGTACTGACAGCTGGTATCTGCATTTTAAATACCAATATTTACTATGTAAAATAACTTGGGTAAAGACAGAGTTTATTGCAAAAAACAATGATACCTTCATGTTTGATTATTTGAATTGAGAAATATATCCATACAGTCAATATTTTTCAACCCTAATTTGATACATTTCTAAATTTGACTAAAATGTATTTCTAGATAATTGTCCATCTCTTGATACCAGCGTTATAAACCAGCATGCATACAGTATTACATTTACATTTTAGTCATTTAGCAGACACTCTTATCCAGAACGACTTACAGTTAGTGAGTGCATACATTTTCATACTGGCCCCCCCCCGTGGGAAACGAACCCACAACCCTGGCGTTGCAAGCGCCATGCTCTACCAACTGAGCTACAGGGGACTACAGTATGTGGCCATGATGAAGACATCAGTCTATGATGGCTGGCAACGAGCACTCTGCAGGCAGGCTGCCCTCCAAAGTGATGTTGTGGAGCTGCCAGAAAGAACATCCTTTCCATCCGGTCCTGCATCATCCGCGACAAGTAGGCCATATGATGGTGCTTGCTCTGGACTCCAGAGAAGTGACATGACATATCCCTAGTTGATGATATTGGCTGCTAACATGAATGACTTTCAGCTCCAAATGCAGCTGTAAAACGCTATTTATTTTTGTAGCTTATCTTGCGTTTTGAAAATGCGTCATTGTTTATGGCTGTAATGATAGGCTACATTTGCACAGCAATTGTGCATGCATGTTCGCGTGTGCACACGTAGATGTGCGTGCACGGGGGGTCGCAAGTTTTGTACCACTGGGTAGTGGCAACAAATGGAGTTAGGTTGTATATAGTAATGGTAGGCTACAGTATTTATCACAATATTCTATTCTGACTGGAATTGTGTTGGTCATTGTTAATAAGTGCAGCATTTATTCCAGTTCAAAATATTTTTCTAAAATACTTTCTCATCAGATTGTGCTGCTTTCCCCCCTTGCAATAATTGCTCAAAGAGTCTATGACTGTGGTTGCGGGATTTTTTCTGCCCCAAAAGGTCTGTGCATGACCCTGGTCGGCAAGCACAGTGAGCATGATTGGCTAATGAAGAGTTCATGGGTGGTGTTCTAAGCATGTAATACTGAGGCAAGTGTTAATTTAAAGTTATTGGTCAACCACTTAGCTCTGCTATCATTGGATGAGTGACAGTCAATATTATATTTCCTATGTAGCATTTCAGAGAGGAATGGGAATGTCCCAAATCCCATAGCTATAAATAATATGGAGTCATAATAACAAGATCATAGCAGCACTTTCCAACACAAATGTATGTGTTGGATCAGCTAGGTGTTCAATCAGTCAATGTGACCTTGTCAAAACAAATGGTTGGATGAGTGATAATGAGGATTTACACCAGCACTGTCACATGCACATTCAGCTGTGAATGCAGCCATCCCTGCCGTTCCACTTGGGAATTTCAGAAAAGCGCTGTGGATGAGACAGATGGAGATCTAGAGAAGTTGAGGGGCCAAAATGAGACCCATTATATTAAACCCTAGATAACAAAGAAGATGACAAAAAGCAATACTGACAGTGACAGATGAAGTATTGGGGATAATAATGAGTGCTTGTATATGTGTGACTCACAGGATAGACATCTGAAATTCCCTGGACATTATCCCATAAAATCACAATGGAGCTGTGGAAGGCCGGTCAAGGGAGGGGAGACAGACAACAATGCACTCCTCTGGGCAAGAGTGGCATGTCCCTCTGGAGTCAGGAGTAGTTTGTGTCTCAGTAGGTGATTGTGAGGTTTGTGCAGTGTCTGTGACCTTTGAGGGCAGGTCCTACAGGGGTTATATACAGTGGGGAAAAAAAGTATTTAGTCAGCCACCAATTGTGCAAGTTCTCCAACTTAAAAAGATGAGAGAGGCCTGTAATTTTCATCATAGGTACACGTCAACTATGACAGACAAAATGAGAAAGAAAAATCCAGAAAATCACATTGTAGGATTTTTAATGAATTTATTTGCAAATCATGGTGGAAAATAAGTGTTTGGTCAACAACAAAAGTTTCTCAATACTTTGTTATATACCCTTTGTTAGCAATGACACAGGTCAAACGTTTTCTGTAAGTCTTCACAAGGTTTTCACACACTGTTGCTGGTATTTTGACCCATTCCTCCATGCAGATCTCCTCTAGAGCAGTGATGTTTTGGGGCTGTCGCTAGGCAACACGGACTTTCAACTCCCTCCAAAGATTTTCTATGGGGTTGAGATCTGGAGACTGGCTAGGCCACTCCAGGACCTTGAAATGCTTCTTACGAAGCCACTCCTTCGTTGGCCGGGCGGTGTGTTTGGGATCATTGTCATGCTGAAAACCCCGCCACGTTTCATCTTCAATGCCCTTGCTGATGGAAGGAGGTTTTCACTCAAAATCTCACGATACATGGCCCCATTCATTCTTTCCTTTACACAGATCAGTCGTCCTGGTCCCTTTGCAGAAAAACAGCCCCAAAGCATGATGTTTCCACCCCCATGCTTCACAGTAGGTATGGTGTTCTTTGGATGCAACTCAGCATTCTTTGTCCTCCAAACACGACGAGTTGAGTTTTTACCAAAAAGTTCTATTTTGGTTTCATCTGACCATATGACATTCTCCCAATCCTCTTCTGGATCATCCAAATGCACTCTAGCAAACTTCAGACGGGCCTGGACATGTACTGGCTTAAGCAGGGGGACACGTCTAGCACTGCAGGATTTGAGTCCCTGGCGGCGTAGTGTGTTACTGATGGTAGGCTTTGTTACTTTGGTCCCAGCTCTCTGCAGGTCATTCACTAGGTCCCCCCGTGTGGTTCTGGGATTTTTGCTCACCGTTCTTGTGATCATTTTGACCCCACAGGGTGAGATCTTGCATGGAGCCCCAGATCGAGGGAGATTATCAGTGGTCTTGTATGTCTTCCATTTCCTAATAATTGCTCCCACAGTTGATTTCTTCAAACCAAGCTGCTTACCTATTGCAGATTCAGTCTTCACAGCCTGGTGCAGGTCTACAATTTTGTTTCTGGTGTCCTTTGACAGCTCTTTGGTCTTGGCCATAGTGGAGTTTGGAGTGTGACTGTTTGAGGTTGTGGACAGGTTTATTTTATACTGATAACAAGTTCAAACAGGTGCCATTAATACAGGTAACGAGTGGAGGACAGAGGAGCCTCTTAAAGAAGAAGTTACAGGTCTGTGAGAGCCAGAAATCTTGCTTGTTTGTAGGTGACCAAATACTTATTTTCCACCATAATTTGCAAATAAATTCATAAAAAATCCTACAATGTGATTTTCTGGAATTTATTTTCTCAATTTGTCTGTCATAGTTGACGTGTACCTATGATGAAAATTACAGGCCTCTCTCATCTTTTTAAGTGGGAGAACTTGCACAATTGGTGGCTGACTAAATACTTTTTTTCCCCACTGTATTTGATCTCCACTATTGCAGGGATACAGTTCTGAAGCATCCTTCCTTATCCACCTCTTAGCAGTGTTGAAGGTAAATTAACACTCCATAAACTTTTATTGAGTGATTATTGTTACATACATCAAAATCTAATTGTGTGATTTATTGCTATGCTTTTGACAAGGTGATGTAATGAGACACAGGAATATATGGTGGAAATGCTGAAGGAGTTTGTCAAGGTGTCCATCACCAGCCGCGAAGGCGACCCGGTTACTGTGCAGACCAAGAATGGGAAGGTCAGTGCTTTACTTCAAGTGACCAAGTTGAACATAAACCAAGTTGACCTCATGCATACAGTACAAGGTTGATCAGAACAAGGTTGTAAAGTGATGCAGAATGAAGTGGCTAATAACTGTCTACACCATCTCTCTAATTTCTCACAGACTCACCTTCAAAGACTCTCAGAATATGCAAAATAATCCCTGCAAGTTTGACAAGATTACTATGTTTCCAGTGGAGAATCAGGTGCTGGAAAGATGGTGAACACCAACAGAGTCCTCCAGTACTTTGCAAGCATTGCAAGCTTCTGATATTAAAAGATGCAGCCGCCCAAAACAAGGTGTTCAATCTGTTACAGCTTTTGCATGCATATTTTCATGATTGAGCAGTTCTGTAGCCAAGTATCTAATATGTGTTTCTATAACATTCTAAGGGAACTAAGGATGAAATCATCCAGGCTAACCCAGCTCTAGAGGCCTATGGTAACGCCAAGACCATCAGAAATGATAGCTCCTCAAGATTTGTGAGTTTCTGATAGATATTCAGGTTTATTTATTTAATACAGCATTAAATCACCCGAAAATATACTAACAACCATTTTCTGTGTAGGGTAAATTTATCAGGATTAATTTTGACACTCGAGTAAAACTTGCTTCTGCTAAAATTGAGACATGTCCAAAGATAAATAGTCACATGCACGCACATGTTAAAGTTACCAATGGTTTTCTTCAAGGGAGGCATTGTTTGTCATCCAATGGAATATCCATGCATTCATGGTGGTCAAGATCAAGCCTCTGCTGAAATCTGCTGAGGCAGAGAAGGAGATGGACAACTTGAAGGTAGAATTCCTCAAGCTTAAAGAAGTGTTTGCCAAGTCTGAGACTTGGAGAAAGGAACTAGAGGAAAATATGGTCTCCCTTCTGCAAGAAAATTATGATCTCCAGCTTCATGTCCAGGCAGTGAGTTTAGATTTTTTAATCACATTTCAAAAAAGATAATGTTGTGGCTGAATTGTTGTATCAAGCTTTGGTCTTCATCACTCCATACTACAAAGTCTACCATACATCTTTACCAAAAAGCTAGCTTTCAGTATAAGGGCAAGGTTACTGACATGGCACACTGCCTCCATTACACTGTGCTGTCTTTTGTTTGTTGTTATTATGTTGTTTGTATCTATATATTTACAACCTGTTTGGCAGGAGAAAGATAATCTCTGTGATGCAGAGGAGCGTTGTGAGGAGCTGATCAAAAACAAGATCCAGCTTGAGGCCAAAGGCAAAGAGCTGATGGAGAGACTGGAGGGTGAGGAGGAAATAAATGCAGAACTGACCACTAAGAAGAGGAAACTGGAGGACGAGTGCTCTGAGATAAAGAAGGACATTGATGATCTGGAGCTCACTCTGGCTAAAGTGGAGAAGGAGAGGCATGCCACTGAGAACAAGGTAATTCTAAATCTTAAAATCTGTATGAAGAACACAAAATGTTTTTATAAGATTCTGATTGAGGAAAGGGCAGCTCTGGATGAAATCATTGCTAAGCTGACCAAGGAGAAGAAAGCTCTCCAGGAGGCTCATCAGCAAACGCTAGACGACCTGCAGAGTGAGGAGGACAAAGTCAACACTCTAACCAAGGCAAAGGCTAAGCTGGAGCAACAAGCTGATGATGTGAGATCCTATATAGAGATTAGAGCATTTTAATGGAAAAAATGCTAACAAACCACTAACAATTGTAATTTGCTTAATTGTCCTCTGCAGCTTGAAAGGGTCCCTTGAGCAAGAGAAAAAGGTGCGAATGGATCTTGAAAGAGCCAAGAGGAAGCTGGAGGGAGACTTGAATTTGTCCCAGGAGTGTGTAATGGACCTGGAGAATGATGAACAGCAGCTAGAGGAGCACCTCAAGAAGTAAGATTAAAGCCATAACAAAATATTACACTCTACTGCAAACAAATGCAGAAACATTCTTAAGCAATTTGTCTTATCGAGCTACCAATGAATGATTACACTGATTACACAGGAAGGACTTTGAAATCAGTAATCTGATCTGTAGGATTCACGATGAACAGGCCATAATAAACCACCTTCAAAAGAGGTTGAAGGATCTTCAGGTAATGAAGTACAATGTCCTTTTTAATTCTTCAACCATTTGTATGTTTTACCATGATGATGCCGTTTTGTCTCGTGCTAGGCCCGTGTAGAGGAACTGGAAGAGGAGCTTGAGAAAGAGTTGCCCGAGCCAAGGTGGAGAAGCAAAGAGCAGACTTAGACAGAGAGCTGGAGGAGATTAGTGAGAGGCTGGAGGAGGCTGGTGGAGCCACTGTGGTCCAGATTGAGATGAATAAGAATAGGGAGATGGAGTTCCAGAAACTTTGCAGAGACAACTCTGCAGCAGGAGGCTACAGCTGCCACACAGGAAGAAACAAGCTGACAGTGTGGCCGACCTATGGGAGCAAGTAGACAACCTGTAGAGAGTGAAGCAGAAACTGGAGAAGGAGAAGAGTGAGCTCAGGCATGGAACATGTTGCAAAGTCAAAGGTAAAAAGTCCATCTAAGTGAAAGTACAAAGCTCTTTCCATTTTGTCACTGTTTACCTCTTGAATTATTACTTTTTTTGTCTTTCAGGACCACGGCAATTAATACAGGACCAAGTATGAGGAAACTCAAAGATTCCTCAATGACATTACAACTCGACTTCAAGCCGAGAACGGTAGGTAGAATAACTGCTGTCTCTGGATATTGCAATAGATAAGCTGAATGAGGTAACAAGCTAAAGTTTATTCCTCAACCTGTTACTTTTTAGATTACATTGGTAGACAGTTGGAAGAAAATTAATATATTGTCTTTCAGCTGACGAGGAAATAATTTGTACAGTCAACAGTCAAGGTAATTTAGACCATATATTGTCTTTATTTATGAATGAAGATGCCCTCATCATAATATGAGTGCCCTCTGTCCTTGCTCCTCTCAGGCAAAGAATGCACAAGCCCATGCAGTGCAGTCTGTTCACCATGACTGTGACCTGCTTAGAGAGCGGTATGAGGAGTAGTAGGAGGCCAAGGCTGAGCTGCAGCATGGCATGTCCAAGGCTAACTCTGAGGTGGCTCAGTGGAGAACAAAGTGCAAGACTGACGCCATTCAGAAAACTGAAGAACTGGAGGAAACCAAGTAAGGAATGATAAAATACAATTTGCTAGAATCCTAATTCCTGTTAAATAGCAGCAACATTTATCAAAATGCACAAATACTCAATGGATCAAGTCTAAAACACTAAATACCAACTTCTAAGTAAATTGCCTGAAGTTTGGAGAAGCTATGAAATGATATGCCACATTTTTTACTTCGTCTCTACGTCCACAACTCGGGAAGAAGCTGGCTCATCTCCTGCAGGATGCTGAAGAAGCTGTGGAGGCAGTGAACGCTAAATGTTCCTCCCTGGAGAAGACCAAACACAGACTGCAGAATGAGATTGAAGATCTCATGGTGGATGTGGAGAGGTCTAATGCTGCTGCTGCTGCCCTGGACAAGAAGCAAATAAACTTTGACAAAGTATGTAATGCAGTTCTTCAATTCACACGTCGATCTGAATTCCTCAAGCTTAAAGAAGCGTTTGCCAAGTCTGAGACTCGCAGAAACGAACTAGAGGAAAAGATGGTCTCCATTCTACAAGAAAAAAATGATCTCCAGCTTCATGTCCAGGCAGTGAGTTTAGATTTTTTAAAATCACATTTAAAAAAAGATAATGTTGTGGCTGACTGTTGTATCAAGCTTTGGTCTTCAGCACTCAATACTACAAAGTCTACCGTAAAGAGTCATGAGGTGAGAGTGCAATTTCAAACCATCCCTTGTTCTGTCTGGATTGGCCGTTTTACATCAACAACTTCAGTTTGAATCTTCTCATGTGTATTCAGCTTGAGTTAAATCAGGTCATGGCTAACATTGATCGCAAGCTGGCTGAGAAGGATGAGGAGATGGAGCAGTCCAAGACCTGCCATGGTGTGCCTAGTAGATACTGCTCAAAATGTTTTTTAAAAGGTGCTATCTAGAACCTAAAAGGGTCCCACATAAAAAATACTACAGTTTACGATAGAATACTACAGTACTTACTAAATAATTATGTAGCAAACTGTAGTATACTTAAGCAATAAGGCCCGGGGGTGTGCCTGGACACAGTCCTTAGCCGTGGTATATTGGCCATATATCACAAACGCCCGAGGTGCCTTATTGCTATTATAAACTGGTTACCAACGTAATTAGAGCAGTAATACGAAATATTTTGTCATACCCGTGGTATCAGCCAATCAGCATTCAGGGCTCGAACCACCCAGTTTATAATGTAGAATACTATACTACACACTATAGTATCCCTCGAACATGTGTAGTGCTTAGTATATAATTTGGTAGTATACTGTAGAATATTATAGTACATACTACAGTATTATCCACAAAAAAACACTGTAGTAAATACTACTTAAATGTCCGCAAAAACAATACAGTCCGCAAAAACACTACATTTTTTAAATGTAGTAAATAATACAGTATTTAATTTGCATATAACCTACCTATTCCCCTCCCCCATATCCCAATTTGTGCCACCTATAAGTGAGAAACCTACATGTCAAGTACAGTGCCTTGCAAAAGTACTCATCCCCCTTGGCGTTTTTCTCATCGACATACACAAAATAGTTCAAATTGGTGAAGTGGAATGAAAAAAATTACTTCTTTCAAAAAATTCAAAAAAATCAATTACGGAAAAGTGGTGCGTGCATATGTATTCACCCCCTTTGCTATGAAGCCCCTAAATAAGATCTGGTGCAACCAATTACCTTCAGAAGTCACATAATTAGTTAAATAAAGTCCACCTTTGTGCATTCTCAGTGTCACATGATCAGTCACATGATCTCAGTATATATACACCTGTTCTGAAAGGCCCCAGAGTCTGCAACACCACTAAAAAAGGGGCACCACCAAGCAAGCGGCACCATGAAGACCAAGGAGCTCTCCAAACAGGTCAGTTACAAAGTTGTGGAGAAATACAGATCAGGGTTGGGTTATAGAAAAATATCAGAAACTTTGAACATCCCACGGAGCACCATTAAATCCATTATAAAAAATTTGAAAGAATATGGCACCACAACAAACCTGCCAAGAGAGGGCCGCCCACCAAAACTCACAGACCAGGCAAGGAGGGCATTAATCAGAGAGGCAATAAAGAGACCAAAGGAGCTGCAAAGCTCCACAGCGGAGATTGGAGTATCTGTCCATAAGACCACTTTAAGTCATATACTTCACAGAGCTGGGCTATATGGAAGAGTGGCCAGAAAAAAGCCATTGTTTAAAGAGAAAAATAAGCTATCACGTTTGGTGTTCACCAAAAGGCATGTGAGAGACTCCCCAAACATATGGAAGAAGGTACTCTGGTCAGATGAGACTAAAATTGAGCTTTTTGGCCATCAAGGAAAACACTATGTCTGGCGCAAACCCAAGACCTCTCATCACCCCGAGAACACCATCCCCACAGTGAAGCATGGTGGTGGCAGCATCATGCTATGGGGATGTTTTTCATTGGCAGGGACTGGGAAAATGGTCAGAATTGAAGGAATGGTGGATGGCGCTAAATACAGGGAAATTCTTGAGGGAAACCTGTTTCAGTCTTCCAGAGATTTGAGACTGGGACAGAGGTTCACCTTCCAGCAGGACAATGACCCTAAGCATACTGCTAAAGCAACACTCTAGTTTTTTTAAGGGGAAACATTTAAATGTCTTGGAATGGCCTAGTCAAAGCCCAGACCTCAATCCAATTGAGAATCTGTGGTATGACTTAAAGATTGCTGTACACCAGCGGAACCCATCCAATTTGAAGGAGCTGGAGCAGTTTTGCCTTGAAGAATGGGCAAAAATCCCAGTGGCTAGATGTGCCAAGCTTGTAGAGACATACCCCAAGAGACTTGCAGCTGTAATTGCTGCAAAAGGTGGCTCTACAAAGTATTGACTTTGGGGGGTGAATAGTTATGCACGCTCAAGTTTTCTATTTTTTTTGTCTTATTTCTTGTTTGTTTCACAATAAAACATATTTTGCATCTTCAAAGTGGTAGGCATGTTGTGTAAATCAAATGATACAAACCCCCAAAAAATGGTTGTAAGGCAACAAAATAGGAAAAATGCCAAGGGGGGTGAATACTTTCACCAGCCACTGTATATACCATAAATTGTGTTCCCTATGGTTCTAGAAAAGAGCAGAAGCCTTGAACTCTCTGTTCCGAACCCAGTCCTACCTACAGACAGGATATGGAACATTTGCTCTTTTAGTATTTCTCCTGTAGGTTTCCTCAAGGAGAAAGCCCCCAACTTCTATGTCAAAGATAATAAAACACTTCAGTAAATATTACAGTAATGTCCCCAAAAACACTACAGTAAGTACTACAGTATATTACAGTCCACAAAAACACCACAGTAAATACTACAGTATACCGTACTAAAGTCTGCAAAAAACACTACAGTAAATACTACAGTCTGCAAGAACACTACAGTAATAGTTAGTATATACTCATTTTTTACTACAGTATTTATACTATAGTTAACTGTAAATACTACAGTATACTACATTATTGTGAATACTATAGTATTCTTACCATAGCATACACTATCGTATTTTGTCATGTGGGGTTCTTCGGCTTTCCACATAGGAGAACTCTTTGAAGAAACCTATTTGGTTCCAGGTAGAACTCTTTTGGTTCCAGGTAGAACCCTTTTGGGTTCCATGTATAACTCTTTCCACAGAGGGTTCTACATGCAAACCAAAACAGTTTTACCTGTAACCAAATAGGGTTCTTCAAAAAGTTATCCTGTGGGGTCAGCCGAAGCACCCCTTTAGAACCCTTTTTTCTAAGATTGTTACATTGCATATTCCTCTCTAGGATGCCCAAATCCAGTTGTGACCATTCCAATGATGATCTGAAAGAGAACATTGCCATTGTAGAGAGACATAACAATCTAATGCAGGCAGAGCTGGAGGAGCGAAGAAGATGTTTTGAACAGACTGAAAGAAGCCTCAAGCTGGCTGAGCAAGAGCTACTGGATGTCAATGGAGGGTGCAGCTGCTGCACGCATTGGTAAGGTAGAATCACTGACTATGGATTTTCTTCTTTAGCTGTAGCTGAACATTGTTAAAAAATATATTTTCTTATAATCTATGAATAGAACACTGGCCTGCTGAATTAGAAGAAGAAACTTGAGGCTGACACCGCCCAGTTTCAGACTGAGTCAGAAGAGGCAGTGCAGGAGTGCAGAAATGCTGAAGAAAAGGCCAAGAAGGACATTACTGATGCTGCCATGATGGCAGAGGAGTTGAAGAAGGAGCAGGACACCAGTTCTCACCTGGAGCGAATGAAGAAGAACATGGAGCAGACCATCAAGGACCTGCAGCACCGCCTGGATGAGGCAGAACAAATCGCCATGAAGGGGGGCAAGAAGCAGGTGCAGAAGCTGGAGGCCAGGGTAAGTTTAACTTTACATTATAAATTGTACATGTACATACTGAACATAAGACATTTGCAAAATAATAATACTGGATCCTGTTACATACAGTGGGGAGAACAAGTATTTGATACACTGCCGATTTTGCAGATTTTCCTACTTACAAAGCATGTAGAGGTCTGTAATTTTTGTCATAGGTACACTTCAACTGTGAGCAACAAAAACAAACAAAAATCCAGAAAATCACATTGTATGATTTTTAAGTAATTAATTTGCATTTTATTGCATGACATAAGTATTTGATACATCAGAAAAGCAGAACTTTAATATTTGGTACAGAAACCTTTGTTTGCAATTACAGAGATCATACGTTTCCTGTAGGTCTTGACCAGGTTTGCACACACTGCAGCAGGGATTTTGGTCCACTCCTCCATACAGACCTTCTCCAGATCCTTCAGGTTTCGGGGCTGTCGCTGGGCAATACGGACTTTCAGCTCCCTCCAAAGATGTTCTATTGGGTTCAGGTCTGGAGACTGGCTAGGCCACTCCAGGACCTTGAGATGCTTCTTATGGAGCCACTCCTTAGTTGCCCTGGCTGTGTGTTTCGGATCGTTGTCATGCTGGAAGACCCAGCCACCACCCATCTTCAATGCTCTTACTGAGGGAAGGAGGTTGTTGGCCAAGATCTCGCGATACATGGCCCCATCCATCCTCCCCTCAATACGGTGCAGTCGTCCTGTCCCCTTTTCAGAAAAGCATCCCCAAAGAATGATGTTTCCACCTCCATGCTTCACGGTTGGGATGGTGTTCTTGGGGTTGTACTCATCCTTCTTCTTCCTTCAAACACGGCGAGTGGAGTTTAGACCAAAAAGCTATATTTTTGTCTCATCAGACCACATGACCTTCTCCCATTCCTCCTCTGGATCATCCAGATGGTCATTGGGAAACTTCAGACGAGCCTGGACATGTGCTGGCTTGAGCAGGGGGACCTTGCGTGCGCTGCAGGATTTTAATCCATGACGGCGTAGTGTGTTACTAATGGTTTTCTTTGAGACTGTGGTCCCAGCTCTCTTCAGGTCATTGACCAGGTCCTGCCGTGTAGTTTTGGGCTGATCCCTCACCTTCCTCATGATCATTGATGCCCCACGAGGTGAGATCTTGCATGGAGCCCCAGACCGAGGGTGATTGACCGTCATCTTGAACTTCCATTTTCTCTTAATTGCGCCAACAGTTGTTGCCTTCTCACCAAGCTGCTTGCCTATTGTCCTGTAGCCCATCCCATCCTTGTGCAGGTCTACAATTTTTTCCCTGATGTCCTTACACAGCTCTCTAGTCTTGGCCATTGTGGAGAGGTTGGAGTCTGTTTGATTGAGTGTCTGATTGAGTGACAGGTCTGTGAGAGCCGGAATTCTTACTGTTTGGTAGGTGATCAAATACTTATGTCATGCAATAAAATGCAAATTGATTACTTAAAAAATCATACAATGTGATTTTCTGGATTTTTGTTTTAGATTCCGTCTCTCACAGTTGAAATGTACCTATGATAAAAATTACAGACCTCTACATGCTTTGTAAGTAGGAAAACCTGCAAAATCGGCAAAACTTGTTCTCCCCACTGTAAATGTTATGGCTTTGACAGGTGAGGTGGAGAATGAGTTCAAGGCTGATGCCATCAAAGGAATTTGTAAATATGAGAGACGTATCAAGGAGCTGACCTACCAAGTATCTTTAGTAACTCTGTCATTGGCTGTCCAGTCTTCTGACCTGATAACAAATGGGTTTAACCTTTTTTTGTGTCTAAAATTGACAGGATGAGGAGGACCGTAAGAAAATGGCTCCTCTTCAAGAACTTGTGGATAAGCTGCAGCTGAAAATGAAATCTTACAAGAGAACTGCAGAGGAGGCTGTAAATATGGACTTAATGCATTCATTCTTGAGATACTATCCACCTGTTTTAGCTCAGGCGACATTATGTTTGTTTGTTTCTGTATCACAGGAGGAACAGGCAAATACTAACCTGGAAGTTCTGCAAAATACAGCATGACCTGGATGAGGTCGAGGAAAGGGCAGACATCGCTGAGTCTCAGGTCAACAAGCTGCGTGCCAAGAGCTGTGATGTTGGTTCCAAGGTTAGAAATACCATCAAATATATGATCTATGGCTTCTGACCCTGGCAGATGCTTGCTAAAAATGTTGGCTAAACTCATTGTTTGGCTTCTATATTTTGATAGACACTAATCTATCTGTTGATACCAGATTTCCACTAACTGGCTCTCTCTTTGTCTCAATTCTTTCTAACATTCCCTGACATTCCAGAAAGGATTTGATGAAAAAATATTCTGCTGTGTGTAGTACATTTCCCTCTATCTCTCTCCACCTCTTCTAATTGTGTGGAATAAAACCTCTTTAAGCAGTCTGACAATTATGTATCTTACATTGTGTCGTAGTTACCAATGGCCCATCATTGGTCAGTGAGATTGAATGCTAATTTATCATCACCAAACTAGACTATTTAGAAACATTCGCGCCCACGTATTGCATGCTTGCTGACATTTCTAAAACTTAATTTACAAATAATAATAATTGTAACATTTCTTATATTTTCCTATTTTCACGTAAATAAACAAAAGTGTATAGGGTATGACATTACCTGGTTAATTAGCCAACTCTTACCATAGTCACTTATCTATATCCTTGACTATCTCAGAGAGTTGGAGGGTGATGAGGCTATCTGGGGTATCATGAGGTCAAGCACCCTCTTTGACGTTGGCATTGGGATAAGGTTTGAGTTATCAGGGAACCCGAGAGGGGCCCGGCAGGGGTGGACAGACAGAAAAGCCATGGGGAGTGGGGTGGGGAGTAGGGTTGTGTGGGTGGGCTTAAGTGTTTGAAATGCGAGGTGATGATAGCTAAAATAGAGAGAGATAAAACAAATATCTTGTTCTCGAAATAGAGCGTTAAGGAAAGCGTAAGAGTCAGGGTGCCAAGGTCGTGCAATAAACCACCTCAGATAGCTAGGCTTCTCACAATACCATGCAGCATAATCACACTAGCAGCTGGTCTGTCACAATAAATCCCTATGCCACGCCACCACAACAATACTCCTCATTAGTGGCTGTGTTTGAGACAATGTTTTTTTTTTAATGATCTAAAAAAGAACAAAAATATAAACACAACATGTGAAAGATCCCAGACATTTCCATACACACAAAAAGCTTATTTCTCTCAAATGTTGTGCACAAATCTGTTAACATCCTTGTTAGTGAGCATTTCTCCTTCGCCAAGATAATCCATCCACCTGACAGGTGTGGCATATTAAGAAGCTGATTAAACAGCATGATCATTACTCACACTGTATATATATTTTCTGTTGTATTTTTGACTTTATGTTTTTTTACCCCATATGTAACTCTGTGTTGTTTTTATTGCACTGCTTTGCTTTATCTTGGCCAGGTCGCAGTTGTAAATGAGAACCTGTTCTCAACTGGTTTACCTGGTTAAATAAAGGTGAAATAAAAAAATAAAAAATTACACAGGTGCACATTGTGCTGGGGACAATAAAAGGCCATTATAAAATGTGCAGTTTTGTCACACAACACAATTCCACAGATGTCTCAAGTTTTGAGGGAGAGTGCAATTGGCATGCTGACTGCAGGAATGTCCACCAGAGCTGTTGCCAGATAAATTAATGTTCATTTATCTACCATAAGCCGCCTCCAACGTCATTTTAGAGAATTTGGCAGTACGTCCAACCGGCCTCACAACCGCTGACCACGTGTATGCCTTTGTGTGGGCGAGCAGTTTGCTGATGTCATCGTTGTGAACTGAGTGCCCCATGGTGGCAGTGGGTTTATGGTATGGACAGGCATAAGCTATGGACAATGAACACAATTGCATTTTATCGATGGCAATTTGAATACATAGAGATTCCGTGACGAGATCCTGAGGCCCATTGTCGTGCCACTCATCTGCCACCATCCCCTCATGTTTCAGCATGATAATGCACAGCCCCATGTCACAAGGATCTATGCACAATTCCTGGAAGATGGAAATGTCCCAGTTCTTCTATGGCCTGCATACTCACCAGACATGTCACCCATTGAGCATGTTTGGGATACTCTGGATCGACGTGTACGTCAGAGTGTTCCAGTTCCCGCCAATATTCAGCAACTTCGCATACAGCCGTTGAAGAAGAGTGGGACAACATTCCACATGCCACAATCAATAGCCTGATCAACTCTATGTGAAGGAGATGTGTCACGCTGCATGAGGCAAATGGTGGATACTGACTGGTTTTCTGATCTATGCCCCTACCTTTTTTTAAGGTATCTGTGACCAACAGATGCATAGCTGTATTCCCAGTCATGTTAAATCCCTAGATTAGGGCCTAATGAATTTATTTCAGTTGACTGATTTCCTTATATGAACTGTAACTCAGTAAAATCGTAGAAATTGTCGCATGTTGCGTTTATATTTTTCATTATAGATCTGATTGTCTAGTCCACACTCTTACAGTTTAATATTTAAGAAATATTATAGCTGTTAAAAAACATACAGTGTCTGGACCATGATAATAGAACAACTAGATATATTAACTCCCTCTGCACCCCCATATATCCTCATTCTGATAGTAAGGTTGACATCCTCTAATAGGAGTATTCAATAAAAATAATATAATTTGTGTGTAATTTGCCGCTGTGCATTTCATTTTGTGCATATTGATTTTTACATCATAGTCTCTCATAAAATACCATAGTAAAAATACTAAGTAGTCAGTGCCTGTTGGTGTCTGCAGAGGTTCTGTCCTGGTGCTGTTTGCTATCCCTCGCCAAAGTCCTGTCACTTCTGTCAACACAGTGTTGTGGCCTTCAGAAACCCCCAGTGGAGAAACAGGAATCCATCAGCAGTGAACATGCTGACGCCTGGTACAGTAGCTGTGGGGAGAAAATATCTGTTGAGGATTAATGTACAGAGATGTATTTGATAAGTGATTAGGAAAAATAAATGTGGCATGACGACAAATTGATTGACATTTAAACGACTAAACAATTTAACGTTTTTTTCCCACTATGGTCGCTATTGTTGCTAGTTTTAAATAACATGCTTGATAAAGGTACATCTTGACACCTATTTGTGGTGACTTGTAGCTCCCTAAAATATATGATCACTATTTTCCTTTAGGAAGTGTTTACAGTTTCATTGCATTGCATTAATTATTTGAGTTTGAGGGCATTTACAAGGCAGTCCTATAAAATACTTCCCTGGCTACCCAGACTCCTTGCTTAGGCCAAACACTACGCCACGCCCACGGACGTTCGTTTCTTCTCCCCAATGAATCTGGATCTGAGTACCGACCCGACCCGTCACCCAATGTAAACACATTCGGGGCTGTCTGATTGGTTCAGAAACCGATGGGTTTAGCCAGAGCTGGAACACACGTGAGTAAAACGACGGTTTGAAAATTCGTCATTGGCTTTGATACACTGATTGGTTACAGACGATCCAATTACTGATGACTTTGTTTTGTACAATGCCCCTTTTGCCTATCATCACCACAAACAACTTCAATGATGGCAGTCTCAGACTAAATTATGTAGTGAACGACAGCAAGTATGGGTAACTGCATACTTGGAGTGTGTCTGGAAGTGGGTGGATCAACAGCGATGTGTGTAACATCAGTTGGTGGATCAACAGCGATGGGTGTAACATCAGCGCTCCATTATTGGTTAGACCGGCCATAGTCAGGTGCACCGCGGGTCAGCTTAATGTTTACACAGTAGGTTAGGAGAATTAACGTAGCAGGTTAGGATAATTAACGTGGCAAGTTAGGAGAATGAGGTTAAGGTTAGGAAAAGGGTTAGGGTTAGGCTTAGCTAAAATGCTAGTTGCAGTTGTCAACAATCGACTCGTCGTGCAGCCCAATCAGCCACGCAAAACTGTCTTGAGTGGCAACAAATCTGCCCAAATAGCTGATTGGCTTTCCATACACCCACTTCTGTTGATCCTCCCACTTCTGTTGACATGCCTACTTTTAGACACACTCCATGTATGCAGTTACCCATGACTCTATGACAGAGCAGTGGAAGAATTTAGTTTGAGCTGTCATGCTAATAAAATACATGGTGGTGTTAACCTGCCAATTGTTCATATAAGGTTAAAATGTCAAGAGGTGTCTGGACTGCTGTGAATAGGGCTCAAAGAGCACTCAGGAACAGAATGTTACAAGTGATATGCACAATTAAGGGGTTGGACAATTGGAATATTTAAAACCTCTGAGTATCTGAACGTATGAACATGTGTATAGGAGGTAGGTATGGTGATGGTGCACTTAACAAGTCTACTACTGTAAGTCACTCATTTTAATTAATTCAACTAACTCAAATACTCATTTGCATCAAATTATATTATATTTTCTCATGTTTCCTTTAATCAGTGCTGGTTTGACTTTGGGCAGAGTGATAGGAAGGTCAATGTTATCTTCACTGGGTCTTTAGCAGTGGCATGGCATTTCTCACTTCCATTTGTCACCCTAACGCCAGCTGTCATTTGCAAGCCTGGGGAAGCTATCAGAAGGGAAATAATCTTAACACTTGTCACCAGCACTTGACTCATCTTTAACCTCTTGACCTTTGAAAGGCTGTGACGATTAGCGGAAGTTACTAACATTATATTTTACTTTTAGTAGTTACATTTCATTGCTTTTTCTCACTTTGGGAGTACCTGATTCTTTTGATTTCTTTGACACGCTATCAAATATGATGGACAAAATTCCCGGGATGTCAATATTATGACTCAGAGAAAACAAGCCATAAACCTGACCATGCACAGCTCAGCGTTGACTCCACACCATAAATGTAACATAACATATTGATGGGTTACAAGATACACCTGTCACTCTCTCTTTATTTATGTGAAAGAAACCTTTGTTAGGTCTGGTCATCTGCTACAGTTGATCCTACATGTAGGCAATGGTTGAACACTGAAAGCTTAAAACCCACCATGACTCACAAGCTGTCCTCCTCAATCAGTGAGAGGCACTCTGCAGGAATTTCACAGGGTTATCTTTGTCCTCAGACACAATGCCATGTCAACAAGACTGCAATTAAGAGAAGAGAGCTTTCACTGGCTGTTGGTAGGTGATAAAGGAGAACATATGGAAACCCATTCCAGTCAACATTTTTTTATATTATCTAAAATGTTAGATTTTTATCAACAACAAAAAATTACTTGCGTATCTAAAAATGTTGAGATAGTATCAACATAAAAAAATTAAAAATGTGGGAATGGGCTTCCATAAGAACCAGTCGGCAATGACCTTGGCCTCATATTGATCCGCAGTTAACGCCTCTGTCTCCATTGTGTATCATTATTATTATCTTTCAGCTAAATCTAAAGCATGTCACCTGTGACAGACTTCCATCTGTGTTGCATGACACTTGCCGCCTGGTTAATCTCGTTGGCTAAATGTTCTTTATTTAGACCGGCCCATTGGCTATTTTATATTGCTGTTTATGCTTCCGCAAAGTCTACGGCTATGATAACAACACACAATATGTTACCAATGTCGAACACAAACTCCTCTTAAGCCCTCTGGGTAATTGAGAACCCTGTCATGACATATTTTTCTTAAATATCCCTTTGTGAAATCCAATATCTTCTTTTGTGTTTTCAAAAAAATACCAGTTGTCAAATAATTATCCTTGTGCCACGGTAAAACATTTGAGACGTGGAGAATTTGAATTATCCTCTTGAAATATTTGCTCTAGTTCTTTAATGTAGGGGAGACTGGGGGCAATTGTAACTGTTTTTGTATTTTACTGTATTGCTAAGAGACCACTTGAACTAGGCCAGTTTGATATAAGAAACATACATCTGTCTCCCAATCATTCATACCACTTATACAGTGGGGAAAAAAAGTATTTAGTCAGCCACCAATTGTGCAAGTTCTCCCACTTAAAAAGATGAGAGAGGCCTGTAATTTTCATCATAGGTACACGTCAACTATGACAGACAAATTGAGAAAATAAATTCCAGAAAATCACATTGTAGGATTTTTTATGAATTTATTTGCAAATTATGGTGGAAAATAAGTATTTGGTCACCTACAAACAAGCAAGATTTCTGGCTCTCACAGACCTGTAACTTCTTCTTTAAGAGGCTCCTCTGTCCTCCACTCGTTACCTGTATTAATGGCACCTGTTTGAACTTGTTATCAGTATAAAATAAACCTGTCCACAACCTCAAACAGTCACACTCCAAACTCCACTATGGCCAAGACCAAAGAGCTGTCAAAGGACACCAGAAACAAAATTGTAGACCTGCACCAGGCTGTGAAGACTGAATCTGCAATAGGTAAGCAGCTTGGTTTGAAGAAATCAACTGTGGGAGCAATTATTAGGAAATGGAAGACATACAAGACCACTGATAATCTCCCTCGATCTGGGGCTCCATGCAAGATCTCACCCTGTGGGGTCAAAATGATCACAAGAACGGTGAGCAAAAATCCCAGAACCACACGGGGGGACCTAGTGAATGACCTGCAGAGAGCTGGGACCAAAGTAACAAAGCCTACCATCAGTAACACACTACGCCGCCAGGGACTCAAATCCTGCAGTGCTAGACGTGTCCCCCTGCTTAAGCCAGTACATGTCCAGGCCCGTCTGAAGTTTGCTAGAGTGCATTTGGATGATCCAGAAGAGGATTGGGAGAATGTCATATGGTCAGATGAAACCAAAATAGAACTTTTTGGTAAAAACTCAACTCGTCGTGTTTGGAGGACAAAGAATGCTGAGTTGCATCCAAAGAACACCATACCTACTGTGAAGCATGGGGGTGGAAACATCATGCTTTGGGGCTGTTTTTCTGCAAAGGGACCAGGACGACTGATCCGTGTAAAGGAAAGAATGAATGGGGCCATGTATCGTGAGATTTTGAGTGAAAACCTCCTTCCATCAGCAAGGGCATTGAAGATGAAACGTGGCGGGGTTTTCAGCATGACAATGATCCCAAACACACCGCCCGGCCAACGAAGGAGTGGCTTCGTAAGAAGCATTTCAAGGTCCTGGAGTGGCCTAGCCAGTCTCCAGATCTCAACCCCATAGAAAATCTTTGGAGGGAGTTGAAAGTCCGTGTTGCCTAGCGACAGCCCCAAAACATCACTGCTCTAGAGGAGATCTGCATGGAGGAATGGGTCAAAATACCAGCAACAGTGTGTGAAAACCTTGTGAAGACTTACAGAAAACGTTTGACCTGTGTCATTGCTAACAAAGGGTATATAACAAAGTATTGAGAAACTTTTGTTGTTGACCAAACACTTATTTTCCACCATGATTTGCAAATAAATTCATTAAAAATCCTACAATGTGATTTTCTGGATTTTTCTTTCTCATTTTGTCTGTCATAGTTGACGTGTACCTATGATGAAAATTACAGGCCTCTCTCATCTTTTTAAGTTGGAGAACTTGCACAATTGGTGGCTGACTAAATACTTTTTTTCCCCACTGTATGTCTGTACATAAGACGGTCAAATCACAATATTGATTTTAATCTGAAAAGTCCAGACGTTAAATTTGCCCCCTGGCCAGGGGCAATCGTAACAGCAGCTGGGGTCAAATGGAACACCTAAAAAGTAAACCTAATAAATTAACTTAACTTCAAAAACATTAATGTTTATGAATTATCATATTATCATAGAAGTATGTAATGATTTTGCAAGAAATATGCGTATTTCTATGTACTGTACATACTCAATAATTACAGTAAATTATTGCATGGCCATTCAGTTCCTCTCAAAACATCTGAATAATCTGATGGTGCCCAGACGATCTGTTTACAACTTCTTTGGCTCTCTACAGGACCCCAAGGCTATTTAAAGATAGTATTTCAATAATTAATGTATAATTCATATATTCTTAAAGTTAAAATCACTTGTTTTCATCATTTGGCTGCTTGGCTCAGGGCCATTTTAAAACTGCGTTACAATTGTCCCCAACCCAGCAGCCATGACAAAACCTCATATGCCTAGCAAGAGACAACAATAGTGACACGTCATTCATGTCAATGTTTAGCCAACATATAGTGATGAAAATTATGCTTGTTTGAAATATTGGACATTATTGCGCAGGGCAGTATAAGAAAAATACAGCCAGTGGAAAAAACTACTTTCACCCCTAAAAAACTAACATTTGCCCATGAAAGAAATAGTGAGATACTGTATTTGGCTGTAACTTGTTAAGCAGGAACAGAACCTAAATAGGCATGCACTGTGTGCATTTCATCACTATAGATTGTTTCTGTTTGGAGAAATTCAAGGTGTTACAATTGCCTCCTGTTACAATTGCCCCCAGTCTCCCCTACAATTACTAGCATCTGTTCATCTTATTTCTTCATATTTTCTTATTTCAAAACAAATGAACATATAGATTTTTAACTATCTTTTCTTCTTCCTTTAGAAAGGAACATTCTAATTGTAATTTAAGTAACATCATTAAAGCCAGATCTGCTCTGCAGTTGGAAAATGTAGCCCATCCAGCTGCTATCTGATGTACATTTTCTATTTTCAATTCAAGCTTTGAATTTCAGTTGAGATGGTATTGATCCCAACAATGCGAGCTAACCAGTTAGATTACAAGGGATTTTCTGTTGCAAGATTGTATAACATGAAAGACACTACATAATCTGCTATTTATGAGTGAATTTTGAGGTTGCTGACAGAATCCGTTGACTATTTAAAGATGGAGTTGACTTCCTCTCACTGCTTCAAGATATTTATGATTAACTACAACATTCCACGGAGCACCTAATATGGAGCCTTCAGGGACTCCGTCACTGATAAGACTACCTCTGCCCGGTGATTTCTGTATTGCTTTCCGCCACTCATTAACCCCCACCCCTCTTGTACCCCAACCAAACACTGACACAATAACATTCCTGGCCCCTGAGATGCATATCCATATTTGGCAGAGAGGCTTCATTTATAAAGAGGACACATGGTCTGGACCACAATAGGTCACCATACTACTGCAAGGTAAGACGTGATGCTGGAGCTATACTTTTCATTTTTAAATTGATGTATAAAGAAGGTGAGTGCTAGAAAGAGTAAATATGGTTTAAAATGTCTTTGTGTTTTTGTTTCCATAGGACCATTACCTCCATCAGTCTTCTATAAAGGGGTTGGTGCGGTAAGGGTATTTTAACATCATATCAGGGTGTTATTGATTCTGTATTAACCTTTGTTTAATTTTTTATTTTAAATCAAGTCATATTGTTTCAGAAATAATGCCTTAGAATCAATTGAATACGTGGAAATCAGAAATTAAATAGTCATTCAAAATTAACAAAAGGAATATAATTTTTTCTAAAACGTTTTATTAAATTTGATTCTGTTATTTCAGTGATGCCTGATATAATATGAAATAAATGTAAACATGCAACAAATAGCTCAACAATTTCTTTAAATAAAAATAAATAAACATGGAAGTTGATTTCCTCTCCATTCTCTAGACACAGTAAATCATGGGAGACGCTCATATGGCGGAGTTCGGGCCCGCAGCCCCTTACCTGAGGAAGTCGGACAGAGAGCGTCTGGAGGCCCAGACCCGTCCCTTCGACATGAAGAAGGAATGTTTTGTGCCTGACACCGAAGTGGAATTTGTCAAGGCTTCCATCACCAGCAGAGATGGTGACAAAGTCACCGCTGACACTGCGAACGGGAAGGTTAGTAAGCTGTGAGAGAGCTGCTCAACCAGGACACCTAGTGATGATAAGATTATATTTTAACAAAATATGACTTTATATGCAATATGACACCAATAATGCCAGAAACTACTGGATCTAAACACTTCTGTGCTACATTTACTGTAATTTTTTGGGGGGGGAAATGTAACTGTCTAATACTCCATTTTGATGTACTGTTGGTGAACTACTGTTTTAAAAATGACTGACAAATAGTTCAACAGTACTTGCTTTTGTGACACTGATCATTTATTTTTACAGACTGTGACTGTGAAGGAGTGTGACGTCCACCCTCAGAACCCGCCAAAGTTTGATAAAATTGAAGACATGGCGATGTTCACCTTCCTTCATGAGCCAGCTGTGCTGTTCAACCTCAAAGAGCGTTATGCAGCATGGATGATCTACGTGAGTTCACACATGCTGGATTTATTCTCAATTTCTTAACACTGTGGAATAAAACAAAGTAGATATTCTGACCTGAAGAGGTACTATCTCTAATAAATCAAAATCCAACTGAATAGCCTATCAGCCAAACACCCAACAAGCATTTTTTGGTATTCAGACCCCTTCCCCTTTTCCGTATTTTGTTACATTACAGCCTTATTCTAAAATTGATTAAATAAATAAAAAATCTCATCAATCTACACAATACCCCAGAATGACAAAGCGAAAACAGATTTTTAGAAATTTTTGCAAACTTATACAAAAACCTGAAATACCTTATTTACATAAGTATCAGACCATTGGCTATGAGACTCAAAATTGAGCTCAGGTGCATCCTGTTTCCATTGATCATCCTTGAATTTTTTCTACAACTTGAATCGAGTCCACCTGTGGTAAATTCAATTGATTGGACATGATTTGGAAAGGCACACACCTGTCTAAATAAGGCATAAATGGTTAAATAAATAAAAAGTCTATATAAGGTCCCAGGGTTGACAGTGCATGTCAGAGCAAAAACCAAGCCATGGGGTTGAAGATATTGTCCATAGAGCTCTGAGACAGGATTGTGTCGAGGCACACATCTGGGGAAGAAGTTCTTAAATGGAAGAATTTGGAACAACCAATACTCTTCCTAGAGCTGGCCACCCGGCCAAACTGAGCAATCGGTGGAGAAGGGCCTTGGTCAGGGAGGTGACCAAGAACCCGATGGTCACTCTGACAGAGCTCCAGAGTTCTGTGGAGATGGGAGAACCGTCCAGAAGGACAACCATCTCTGCAGCACTCCACCAATCAGGCCTTTATGGTACAGTGGCCAGACGGAAGCCACTCCTCAGTAAAAGGCACATGACAGCCCGTTTGGAGTTTGCCAAAAGGCACCTAAAGGACTCTGAGACCATGAGAAACAAGATTCTCTGGTCTGATGAAACCAAGATTTAACTATTTGGCGTGAATGCCAAGCGTCACGTCTGAAGGAAACCTGGCACCATCCCTACGGTGAAGCATGGTGGTGGCAGCATCATGCTTTGGGGATGTTTTTCAGCGGCAGGGACTGGGAGACTAGTCAGGATCGAGGGAAAGATGAACAGAGCAAAGTACAGTGAGATCCTTGATGAAAACCTGCTCCAGAGCGCTTTGGACCTCAGACTGGGGCAAAGGTTCACCTTCAAACAGGACAATGACCCTAAGCACACAGCCAAGACAACACAGGCGTGGCTTCTGGACAAGTCTCTGAATGTCCTTGAGTGGCCCAGCCAGAGCCCAGACTTGGACCTGATCGAACATCTCTGGAGAGACCTGAAAATAGCTGTGCAGCGACGCTCCCCAACCAACCTGACAGAGCTTGAGAGGATCTGCAGAGAAGAATGGGAGAAACCAAATACAGGTGTGCCAAGCTTGTAGCATCATACCCAAGAAGACTTGAGGCTGTAATTGCTGCCAAAGGTGCTTCAACAAAGTACTGAGTAAAGCGTCTGAATACTTATGTAAATGTGATATTTCTAAAAACCTGTTTTTGCTGTGTCATTATGGGGTATTGTGTGTAGATTGAAGAGGAAAGAAAACAATTTTATCCATTTTAGAATAAGGCTGTAATGTAACAAAATGTGGAAAAAGTCAATGAGTCTGAATACTTTCCGAATGCACTGTATACCCAACCAATCTTAGATTCAACTGCACAACAATCTGGTTAGGCCAAGTAATCACAATAATAAATGTAGGCCTAATATCATACTCTGTATTTTATCATACTCTATGAAATATGAACTTTCAGTTTTTGTATTTTGACTCCTTCCTGTTTCTACAGACCTACTCCGGGCTGTTCTGTGTCACTGTCAACCCCTACAAGTGGCTGCCAGTGTATAACCAGGAGGTGGTCTCAGCCTACAGAGGCAAGAAGAGGAGTGAAGCTCCTCCTCACATCTTCTCTATCTCCGATAACGCTTATCAGTACATGCTGACAGGTAAACTCACTAAGATGACTAACAATATCTTATTCAACTTTTACCCAATAGATATTCAAACATTACGGTACTAATAGAGTAGTATATTCTAAGAAAAAAATATGTGACCATGTCCTTATATCTATTTCAGACAGGGAGAACCAATCCATTCTTATCACGTGAGTTTTCTCTCCTTTTCATCAAGCTGAATTTGTCTCCTCTTTTTAGGTCTTACATTGTCTGACAGTGACATCGAAGTGTTGCTACTGTATATAATCATAATGTGGCTGTACACTGTGATAAATGGATGGATTAATTGGAAAGTATTGCATTGACAAACCAATGAAATTTAAATATTTGTGTTATTTTAACTACCTCAATTTGGACTGTTGTGTTGATACATCTGATTAACAGTGGATAAAACATGCACTTTGAATTCAGTGACAGGCATCCTGTGATTCCTGATAAGAAGAAGGAACTTTTAAAAAACATTGAAGCCTGGTTGGAGGCTGAGGGCAAATTAAGGTTGAACAGTCAGTACATGCCAGCATTGGTGAATGGAGGAAATATTAATGGTGATACGATGGGCCATGGCTGGTACGGTCTAACACAGCTTACCAATTGAAAAGGACTTGGCTGAGATCATTAAGATTGAGCATCTACGCTAAAATAAAAGCCCATAGGGCTAACATTGTGTTTGCATGGGACTTCTTGCTCTTGCTTGATGTTGGGCACCAGGAGAAAAGCGATATTATATCTTGAAAACTTGAATGTTGACATGCAACATTTTGTAGGATTGTATCAAAAGTGGACTAATGAAGAATATACAAGAAAATGGTTTTCGTATGGCTGTTTTTTAGGGGATGGGGGACTAGTGAGCTAATTGTTGCCCTTAGGGTGTAGCTCAGTTGGTAGAGCGTGGCGCTTGCAACGCCAGGGTTGTGGCTTCGATTCCCACGGGGGATTAGTATGAAAAAAGTATGAAAATGGATGCATTCACTGCTGTAAATCGCTCTGGATAAGAGCATCTGCTAAATGACTTATTTTACTGTTGTATACTGTATTTGTATCCTCAGTGGAGAATCTGGTGCTGGGAAGACTGTCAACACCAAGAGAGTCATTCAATACTACGCCAGTATTGCAGCTGTAGGAGGAAAGAAGGATACAGCCTCTGAGAAAAAGGTTAGCTTGTTGAATAAACAGATAACATGTTCTCTAATGGCACCTTACCCTGTATTTTGACTGTTACTGTAATCAAAACACTGCAATGAATACTTCCAGGGGACTCTGGAGGATCAAATCATCCAGGCTAACCCAGCTCTGGAGGCATTTGGTAACGCCAAGACCATTAGAAATGACAACTCCTCAAGATTCGTACGTTTCTATCCACAGACCATTATGATCACACTACCATTGAAACATACAACATATGATACAAGGCACATAATATATTCACTATATATGTTAATTGTATGCCAAAATGAATGATTGGTTCTCTTGAACTTTTCTTCAGGGCAAATTCATCCGAATTCATTTTGCTGCTAGTGGAAAGCTAGCCTCTGCAGACATTGAGACTTGTAAGGAATATTCAAATCAAATCATCTATCAACTATTCTCATATATACAATAATGTTAAACTGCTTCCTTCAATAAACTTTTCCGTCTTGCATTATTACAGATTTGTTAGAGAAGTCCCGTGTGACTTTCCAGCTCAAGGCTGAGAGAGACTATCACATTTTCTACCAGATTCTGTCCCAAAGGAAACCAGAGTTGCTTGGTAAATAAAGAATACTGCCATCCATGTACTAACTAAAACATACCCTTGCTCGGATCTCACTAGATTTGACAGAATCTGACATTTCTGTTTGCTTTTCAGAGATGTTGCTCATCACCAACAACCCCTATGACTACCAATTCATCTCCCAAGGAGAGACAACTGTAGCCTCCATCGATGATGGTGATGAGTTGTGTGCCACTGATGTGAGTAAAGATTGATGGTTGGTTCATCTGGTGCCATATCTGTTTTAAGTGTATTACCTTAATGTATTTATTGGTGCACTGGTAGCATACTATCTCTCTCTTTTTCTCATTTAGGAAGCGTTTGATGTCCTGGGCTTCACTCAGGAGGAGAAGAATGGCATTTACAAGCTGACTGGTGCCATCATGCACTATGGCAACATGAAGTTCAAGCTGAAGCAGCGTGAGGAGCAGGCAGAGGCTGATGGCACTGAGGGTGAGGGGGACTTAATTAAGCAAACAAACCTCAGTGTTGATGATACATCTTAAAGACAGTAAGTTAACTAATATTATAATGTATCGTTTCATTTTATTTCTCCTAAGATGCTGACAAAGTGTCATATCTGATGGGCCTGAACTGTTCTGACCTCATCAAGGGTCTCTGTCACCCAAGGGTCAAAGTAGGGAACGAGTGGGTCACCAAGGGGCAAACTGTCCAACAGGTGAGTCAGAAATGACTTATAACAAAGATCTGAAAACGCTAAGAACTCAGAGCTCAATGTTAATCAGGAAAGGTTCATAACCATAACAATAACGTTTTTTCTATTTAATTAAAGGTGAACTATTCCATTGGTGCACTGTCAAAGTCAGTGTATGAAAAGATGTTCCTCTGGATGGTGGTGAGAATCAACCAATCCTTGGACACCAAGCAGCCTCGCCAGTACTTCATTGGTGTATTGGACATTGCTGGGTTTGAGATCTTTGATGTGAGCTGAAGTGATATTCAATATGATACTTGATTTTTTTAAATATTTTTTTTTACCTCAATCTATTAGGAATACTTCCAAGTTGTAAAACGATTTGTTATATACAGTAACTTAAGTTCACCTCTCTGCTGCAGTACAACACCTTTGAACAGCTCTGCATCAACTTCACCAATGAAAAGCTGCAACAGTTTTTCAACCACCACATGTTTGTGCTGGAGCAAGAGGAGTACAAGAAAGAGGGAATTGAATGGGAGTTCATTGACTTTGGCATGGACTTGCAGGCTTGCATTGACCTTATTGAAAAGGTAAGAAGTAGTTATGTTTTTCAATAAGACAAGTGCACCTACACACATCTAAATGTTATCAGGGTATCAGTAACACTGCTCATATTTGTCTTCCCCTCAGCCAATGGGTATCATGTCCATCCTTGAAGAGGAGTGCATGTTCCCCAAGGCCAGCGATGCTACCTTTAAATCCAAGCTTTACGACAACCATCTTGGAAAATCCAACAACTTCCAGAAGCCCAGGCTTATGAAAGGGAAACCAGAGGCTCATTTCTCCCTGATTCACTATGCTGGTACTGTGGACTACAATATTTTCAACTGGCTGGTGAAGAACAAGGATCCACTGAATGAGACTGTGGTCGGACTGTTCCAGAAGTCTAACCTCAAATTGTTGACAGTGCTCTTCCAGAATTATGCTGGAACAGATGCTGGTATGCATATTTATAAAATATAAACCAGTTCTGAAAGCACCTAGATCAGTCCTTTACAATAGGCATTGTCCAGTCAAATACATCTAATAAGATAAAGTACATTTTTAAGACGTTATTTGAAATCCATTGTACTTCTCAGCTGATGATAGCAAGGCTAGTGGAAAGAAGAAGAAGGGATCATCCTTTCAGACTGTGTCTGCCTTGCACAGGGTGAGTATGAAAAACTAATCAAACTGTGGTGTCTATTTATTCAGATTTACAGTTACATGCATGGTTGTATTGCTTCTACAGGAAAACCTGAACAAGCTGATGACCAACTTGAGGTCTACTCACCCTCACTTTGTGCGCTGCATCATCCCCAATGAGACCAAGACTCCTGGGGCCATGGAGAATCCTCTGGTCATGCACCAGCTGCGCTGTAACGGTGTGCTGGAAGGCATCAGGATCTGCAGAAAAGGCTTTCCCAATAGGGTCCTGTATGGAGACTTCAAGCAGAGGTATACTATACATAGGTTCAACTGAATTGGGAAACAGATCTTCTTTTGTAATATGTATTATATTCAAGACTATGTAATGCTTCATATAGATACCGTATCCTGAATCCTGCTGCCATCCCTGAAGGACAGTTTATTGACAGCAAGAAAGGAGCTGAGAAATTACTTGGGTCTTTGGATATTGATCACACTCAATACAGATTTGGACACACTAAGGTAGAACTTTCATAAGGATTGTCATACACAATATACATATATTCTGATGAAGAAGCAAATATACATACATTTTCAAATGGAATATTTCCCAAAAGTGAAAGTGCCCAAATGTTAAACAATATGGGTTAATTCTGTATATAGGGAGATGATTTAGATATGCTCTACTTGAAATCTCTTTAAGGTGTTCTTCAAGGCTGGTCTACTTGGTCAGCTGGAGGAGATGAGAGATGACCGTTTGTCCCTCATTATCACTGGAATCCAGTCCAGAGCACGCGGTCTGCTGGCTAGAGCTGAATTCCAGAAGATTGTTGAACGAAGGTAAGCATAAACAGTCACAAATGACTTAGGATTCTTTTAAACTATATCTATATCAAATTCACATTGTAGTTCCATGCAATATCTGCTAAACTATATTTGTAATTGTTCACAGAGATGCATTACTTGTGATCCAATGGAATGTACGTGCCTTCATGGGGGTCAAGAATTGGCCCTGGATGAAGCTATTCTTTAAGATCAAGCCTCTGCTGAAATCCGCTGAGTCTGAGAAGGAGATGGCCAACATGAAGGAGGAGTTCTTGAAGCTAAAAGAGGCTTATGCAAAGTCTGAGGCTCGCAGGAAGGAACTAGAAGAGAAAATGGTCTCTCTTCTCCAAGAGAAAAATGACTTACAGCTTTCAGTTCAGGCGGTGAGTTAAAGATATCATCCCATAAATGAAGTAATATGCATCAGAATTGTGATCCTTGCAATAATACTTAGAAATTGTCATTAAGCTAATGAAACCTTTCAAAATAGGAGCAAGATAATCTTTGCGATGCTGAGGAAAGATGTGAACAACTGATCAAACACAAGATTCAGTTGGAAGCCAAATCCAAAGAGCTGACAGAGAGACTGGAGGATGAAGAGGAGATGAATGCAGAACTGACCGCTAAGAAGAGGAAACTGGAGGACGAGTGCTCTGAGATAAAGAAGGACATTGATGATCTGGAGCTCACTCTGGCTAAAGTGGAGAAGGAGAAGCATGCCACTGAGAACAAGGTCACTTTCACCTCTATGTTCATAAAACAAATAAAAACTGTGGTTATGTTGTTTGTTCAAACTTCACTTCCTATTCACAGGTGAAGAACCTGACTGAGGAAATGGCAGCTCTGGATGAAATCATTGCTAAGCTGACCAAGGAGAAGAAAGCTCTCCAGGAGGCTCATCAGCAAACGCTGGACGACCTGCAGAGTGAGGAGGACAAAGTCAACACTCTAACCAAGGCAAAGGCTAAGCTGGAGCAACAAGTTGATGACGTGAGTACTTGATGTTGTTTTGTTAGCGATAAAGGATAGAAATACAGCAGAAATCAAATTGATAAAACAGTAGTGTGTTTTGTGATGATGTTCCCCAGCTTGAAGGTTCTCTGGAGCAAGAGAAGAAGGTCCGAATGGATCTTGAAAGAGCCAAGAGGAAGCTTGAGGGAGACTTGAAGTTGACCCAGGAAAGCCTAATGGACCTGGAGAATGATAAACAGCAACTAGAGGAGCGTCTTAAGAAGTATGTTAAACTTTCTTTTCCAGTTTATATCATTCATGCCTTTATTTGTTAATTTGCCAACAAAAAAATGCCTTTCGGCCACAGGAAAGACTTTGAGGTCAGCCAGCTGAACAGTAAAATAGAAGATGAACAAGCAGCTAACATTCAGCTTCAGAAGAAACTGAAGGAGCTTCAGGTAATTGATCATGTGTAATTGAATGTGTAACCATGATAATGAATGAAAATACACATTATTTTGACTTAAGTCACCTCCAAATAATCTTTCAATCTTTTCCCCCTCGCTAGGCACGAATTGAGGAGCTGGAGGAAGAGCTTGAGGCAGAAAGAGCTGCCCGAGCCAAGGTGGAGAAGCAAAGAGCAGACTTGGCCAGAGAGCTGGAGGACATCAGTGAGAGGCTGGAGGAGGCTGGTGGAGCCACATCTGTCCAGATTGAGATGAACAAGAAGAGGGAGAATGAGTTCCTGAAGCTCCGCAGAGACCTTGAAGAGGCCACTCTGCAGCACGAGGCTACAGCTGCCACACTCAGGAAGAAACAAGCTGACAGTGTCGCTGACCTTGGGGAACAAATAGACAACTTGCAGAGAGTGAAGCAGAAACTGGAGAAAGAAAAGAGCGAGCTCAGGCTTGAACTTGATGATGTGGTCTCCAACATGGAACATATTGTGAAGTCCAAGGTATGGCCCCATTTCATTATCTGGTCTTTTTGTTTCTCATCAGATGTGATGCATGATGGATTATTTAAAAACTCACATTTGTCTTGATATCATGCACTTCATTTCAGACCAATTTAGAGAAGGCATGCAGGACCTTGGAAGATCAGATGAGTGAATATCGGGCAAAGTATGAGGAGGGCATGCGCAGTATCAATGACTTCAGCATGTGTAAAGCTAGGCTGCAGACAGAGAATGGTACGTTTCTTTTCTCTTATGACAAATGATCATCAATATTAGAAAACAATGCCTTCCTCCACACTGATCAAGGCGGTGAAATTGTTCTTAACAGTTTCGTAATTTACTTCACTAGGTGAGCTTTCCAGGCAGCTTGAGGAGAAGGATTCCCTTGTATCTCAGTTAAGTAGAGGGAAGCTGTCCTACACTCAGCAGATTGAGGACCTCAAAAGACAACTGGAGGAGGAGACAAAGGTGAGAGATAAATATGTTAATCCGAAGATATTTAAAATACTGTAATCTATCACTTCATCCTTAGCTATTGATACGAAATGTGTGAAAATATTTGTCTCCCAGGCAAAGAATGCACTAGCCCATGCAGTGCAGTCTGCTCGACATGATGGTGACCTGCTTAGAGAGCAGTATGAGGAGGAGCAGGAGGCCAAGGCTGAGCTGCAGCGTGGCATGTCCAAGGCTAACTCTGAGGTGGCTCAGTGGAGAACTAAGTATGAGACTGATGCCATTCAGAAGACTGAGGAGCTGGAGGAAGCCAAGTAAGAAATCATGACAGTAATTTATTAACTCTTCTACTAAAATGTTCTCCAAAGAAAGACACTGTTTCTCTTCTAGCAGATAGGCTTTTTGTTTGTGTTATGTTTCTTCTAAAATGTAAGACGAACAAAAAGTTTGTCTGATAGCTGACCACGCAGCTATTAGTAGGGAGGTAAAGTATCCAAGGTTCATTTACCTATGAAGCAAAACAAATTTCACTGCAGGCACTAAATGTCTCCTGTTTCTGATTCTTTAATCCAGGAAGAAACTGGCTCAGCGCCTGCAGGATGCTGAAGAAGCTGTGGAGGCAGTGAACGCCAAGTGTTCCTCCCTGGAAAAGACCAAACACAGACTGCAGAATGAGATTGAAGATCTCATGGTGGATGTGGAGAGGTCTAATGCCGCTGCTGCCGCTCTGGACAAGAAACAAAGAAACTTTGACAAAGTAAACATTTTAAGCCATAGATAAATATGCAAAATTATAGGTTCATGATCCTTTCTTTCAAAGGACATTTTTGTTTGATTGTTTCCAACAGGTTCTGTCTGAGTGGAAGCAGAAGTATGAGGAGTCTCAGTGTGAGCTAGAGAGCTCCCAGAAAGAGGCCAGGTCTCTGAGCACTGAACTCTTCAAGCTGAAGAACTCTTATGAGGAATCTTTGGATCAGCTTGAGACAATGAAGAGGGAGAACAAGAACCTCCAAGGTAAGCTCAGTACAGGCATGTATATATTTAATTAATGTCAACAAAGCAATCTAAATGCCACTGTATGGCCTTAACCTCACAGAGGAGATTTCCGACCTTACTGAGCAACTTGGTGAAGGAGGAAAGAGCATCCACGAGCTGGAGAAAATCAGGAAACAGCTGGAACAGGAGAAAAGTGAGATCCAATCTGCTCTGGAGGAAGCTGAGGTAGGTTCCCTCTGTCCAGAATCAAGTCATAATATATTGTACATACTTATACTGTACACCTTTATAATAAACCTGGACCATTATGATCCAACAGGCTTCTCTGGAGCATGAGGAGGGTAAGATTCTGAGAGCCCAGCTTGAGTTTAATCAGGTAAAGGCTGATATTGAGCGCAAGCTAACTGAGAAGGACGAGGAGATGGAGCAGTCCAAAAGGAATTTGCAGAGGGCCATTGATACCCTGCAGAGCTCTCTTGAGGCAGAGTGCCGGAGCAGGACTGAGGCCCTCAGGCTGAAAAAGAAGATGGAGGGAGACCTCAATGAGATGGAAATCCAGCTCAGTCAATCCAACAGGCAGGCATCAGAGGCCCAGAAACAGCTTAAGAGTGTTCATGCTCATCTGAAGGTAAATTATTTTAGGTCTATATCTGGATCGGAGTGTCGGCTAAATGACTCAAATGTAAATGTAAATTTAATAACCAACTGACAATTCATTATACAAATGTCTTCTAGGATGCCCAACTCCAGTTAGATGACTCTCTTCGTTCCAATGATGATCTGAAGGAGAACATTGCCATTGTAGAGAGACGCAACAATCTGATGCAGGCAGAGTTGGAGGAGCTAAGAAGCTGTCTTGAACAGACTGAGAGAGGCCGCAAGCTGGCTGAGCAAGAGCTGCTGGACATCAGTGAGAGGGTGCAGCTGCTGCACTCACAGGTGTGAAAATGATTATTTAGGGTGCTTATTAGTAGTATGCTACTGATGTATTGTACATATCCTCTGGACTGTCCCGCTGTTTAACAGTGGAAACATATTTTCATCTGTAGAACACCAGCCTGCTGAACCAAAAGAAGAAGCTGGAGGGCGACACAAACCAGCTTCAGACTGAGGTGGAGGAGGCAGTCCAGGAGTGCAGAAATGCTGAAGAAAAGGCCAAGAAGGCCATTACTGATGCTGCCATGATGGCAGAGGAGTTGAAGAAGGAGCAGGACACCAGTTCTCACCTGGAGCGAATGAAGAAGAACATGGAGCAGACCATCAAGGACCTGCAGCACCGCCTGGATGAGGCAGAACAAATCGCCATGAAGGGGGGCAAGAAGCAGGTTCAGAAGCTGGAGAACAGGGTGAGTGTATCTTTTTTACAGTAGATGTACATGCTGTGCATTAGAGCCATATGCAAAACAGCAATAATGGACCCTGTTACATAGCCTAGATGTTATTTTTATGTCATGACAGGTGAGGGAGCTGGAGAATGAGGTCGAGGCTGAGCAGAAGAAGAGTGCTGATGCAATCAAAGGAATTCGTAAATATGAGAGGCGTATTAAGGAACTCACCTACCAGGTGATCTTTTATTTATATTGTTGTTACCATGACAGGCATGCATAGTTTGTGCTTTTAAGCAACTGACTGCCATTTGCTATGGGTTCTGTCTTTACAGACTGATGAGGACCGCAAGAATATGGCCCGCCTCCAAGACCTTGTCGATAAGCTGCAGCTGAAGGTGAAAGCCTACAAAAGAGCTGCCGAGGAAGCTGTAAGTGTGGACTTACTTATAACATTGGGGACCTTTCGCTTGCTTGAGTGTATTGGTCTCTGCTTTTGCTGTAATTATGCTTGTTGTGTTTCTGTGTCACAGGAGGAGCAGGCCAACAACCATCTGGGAAAATTCCGCAAAATACAGCATGAGCTGGACGAGGCTGAGGAAAGGGCCGACATCGCTGAGTCTCAAGTCAACAAGCTGCGTGTCAAGAGCCGTGATGTTGGTTCCAAGGTTAGTGAGGCTAAATTCATTTTCAGATTATTTAATATTATAATTTGTTTATTCTAATAACTGGTGTACAGTTGAAGTCGGAAGTTCACATACACTTAGGTTGGAGTCATTAAAACTTGTTTTTCAACCACTCCACAAATTTCTTTTGAACAAACTATAGTTTTGGCAAGTCGGTTAGGACATCTACTTTGTGCATGACACAAGTAATTGTTCCAACAATTGTTAACAGACAGATTATTTCACTGATAATTCACTGTATCACAACTCCAGTGGGTCAGAAGTTTACATACACTAAGTTGACTGTGCCTTTAAACAGCTTGGAAAATTCCAGAAAATGATGTCATGGCTTTAGAAGCTTCTGATAGGCTAATTGACATCATTTGAGACAATTGGAGGTGTACCTGTGGATGTATTTCAAGGCCTACCTTCAAACTCAGTACATCTTTGCTTGACATCATGGGAAAATCAAAAGAAATCAGCCAAGACCCCAGATTAAAAATTGTAGACCTCCACAAGTCTGGTTCATCCTTGGGAGTAATTTCCAAACGCCTGAAGGTAACACGTTCATCTGTACAAACAATAGTACGCAAGTATAAACACCATGTGACTACGCAGCCGTCATACCGCTCAGGAAGGAGACGCATTCTGTCTCCTAGAGATGAACGTACTTTGGTGCGAAAAGTTCAAATCAATCCCAGAACAACAGCAAAGGACCTTGTGAAGATGCTGGAGGAAACAGGTACAAAAGTATCTATATCCACAGTAAAACGAGTCCTATATCGACATAACCTGAAAGGCCGCTCAGCAAGGAAGAAGCCACTGCTCCAAAACCGCCATAAAAAAGCCAGACTATGTTTTGCAACTGCACATGGGGACAAAGATCGTACTTTTTGGAGAAATGTCCTCTGGTCTGATGAAACAAAAATAGAACTGTTTGGCCATAATGAACATCGTTATGTTTGGAGGAAAAAGGGGGATTGCTTGCAAGCCGAAGAACACCATCCCAACCGTGAAGCACGGGGGTGGCAGCATCATGCTGTGTGGGTGCTTTGCTGCAGGAGGGACTGTTGCACTTCACAAAATAGATGGCATCATGAGGAAGGAGAATGATGTGGATAGATTGAAGCAACATCTCAAGACATCAGTCAGGAAGTTAAAGCTTGGTCGTAAATGGGTCTTCCAAATGGACAATGACCCCAAGCATACTTCCAAAGTTGTGGCAAAATGGCTTAAGGACAACAAAGTCAAGATATTTGAGTGGCCATCACAAAACCCTGACCTCAATCTTATAGAAAATTTGTGGGCAGAACTGAAAAAGCGTGTGTGAGCAAGGAGGCCTACAAACCTGACTCAGTTACACCAGCTCTGTCAGGAGGAATGGGCCAAAATTCACCCAACTTATTGTGGGAAGCTTGTGGAAGTCTACCCGAAATGTTTGACCCAAGTTAAACAATTTAAAGGCAATGCTACCAAATACTAATTGAGTGTATGTAAACTTCTGACCCACTGGGAATGTGATGAAAGAAATAAAAGCTGAAAGAAATAATTCTCTCTACTATTATTCTGACAATTCACATTCTTAAAATAAAGTGGTGATCCTAACTGACCTAAAACAGGGCATTTTTACTGGGATTAAATGTCAGGAATTGTGAAAAACTGAGTTTAAATGTATTTGGCTAAGGTGTATGTAAACATCCGACTTCAACTGTACATAATATAATTATGTTAAAACTGGCATTGTTTTAATTCTAGTATTTCAATATCATAAGCAAAAGTGGAAAATATTTATTTTTGTGAGTGACTATGTAAGCAGATGTAAACATTCATATTGAAACAGTCTTAAAACCTGCATCCAAATATATTTAATTTTTTTAAGTATAAAATTATAACAGACACTGTTATCTTTGTCAAGATAAAGCCTGTATTTGTCACATAGTATTTGTATTCTGTATTTGTAATGCTTGTTTGTAATAAGATTTTTAAGGGGAATTGGTGGTCAGTTGGTTAGTCAAAGTAATTCCAAATTACACTGTTATGAGAGTTAGGTCTTGATAAGTCTACACCATTAGATTGTGTTACATAAATATGTAGCCTAGGTGATTGGATTAAGGAGGTAATGAGGATGTAGCTGAAGGCTCATCAACTGTTACACTTATGCGAAGTGGAAAAATAAAATATCAGAGTTATTTATCGGTGTATTAAATGACAAATCCAGGGCTTTATATTGAATAATCCACATCACTTGAAATTCAGTTGAACCTGCAATGTTGTATTATCATGGTTGCTAAATTAATCCACAGAATAGTTTTGGGCCCTGTAAAAACCCATTATTACTACTACTAGGTACACTCCCTTCACAAGTAGATGCTTTTCAGTTTTCAGAAAGAGGAAGTGTTTGTTCATAGGCAGTAGTTTGTAAACAAAGACAATGTTATATTGCTATGGCAGGTTTGATTGAATACAGTCTTAAGTCTATAGGCTACATTTCCACTGTATCTACGTAAAGCTTGACCAGTGCTTACCAATATCTTCTCTCTCTGTCTCTCTCTATTCCCTAATTCTTTACCATCACAGAAAGGTCACGATGAAGAGTGAAGCTCTCAGATGGACCTCAGATGGACAACCTTCTGCTGTGGTGAAGTCTATCCAAAGCCCTAAAGTAACTGTAGATTAAAGTAAAATTGCAATCAGATTCACATCTACTGACTGTGTCTTTATTCATTGTATGGGAGTGATACTTCCACTCCTTTCAAATAATTGTATTGTTGTTGTCATTAATTGTCATCGAAGCTAGGTAATCTGATTATCAGCATATATTGATCTGTCATCATATTGATCTTCACTTGGTTAAATGTAGAACATTTTAACAAGGAGACTACCAATATCAACAGTTTACAAAAAACTCTCATCAATATACAGTGCATTCGGAAAGTATTCAGACCCCTTTACTTTTTTCCACATTTTGTTACGTTACAGCCTTATTCTAAAATGGATTCAATTGGTTTTTTCCCTTCATCAATCTATCGCTTTGTCATTATGGGGTATTGTGTGTAGATTGATATTGAAAAAACCCAATTTACTCCATTTTTGAATAAGGCTGTATCGTAACAAAATGTGGAAAAAAGTCAAGGGGTCTGAATACTGTATCTACTCTTCCGAATGCACTGTATCTACTCTTCTGTTACCTTACCTGCTACTGTCTGCAGGAGCACGGTCCTGGAGCTGTTTCTCATCCCTTACACTGGCTAACTCACCCTCCTGTGGTGTTAGATGGCATAGCACTCACTCTCCACCTGACCTCACTGCAGTAGATAGAGAAAGAGAATTTAAGAATAAATACGTTTGTAAGGTAATGTTGATCGGTTACATTTTTCCAAGTATAAATGTAAAGCATATTCTGCGTGTCACATTTACGACAGCAGAACTCTGCCTGATGCCAACATAACATGGAAATATACACCATCCCCAAGACAGACAATGCATGGTCCTTTATGGTATTGTTCAAGGGTGCCAATGAAATAATAATAGGACCCCTCTGTGTTAAAGACCCAAGGCCAATGGAGTCGGGTTGCAGCAACTGATGATAAGACTTTTTAGTGTATGGCTAACAAATAACTGATCAGATGAGGGAAATAGACAGCTGGGAATGGGTTGGCTTAAAGTGTCATTGAGTAGCCAGGAATGGAATGTTCATCCCCTCAACAGAGCTCAGTAAAGGACCTTTGTTGGTGCAAAGGCTGAATGTTTAAATGTAGAATAACTTGAATAACATAGGGTTACAGGAGTTAACGAGTTCATAAAAAATAGTAAACAGCTTTAGAGATCAAACTGTAGCTAGTAAACCTAACACCTGTTTTATGAGCACGGCGCCCCCCATCATTCATATGTTCCTAAACATATGTGACTTGCTGCACTGTGGCTGAATACAAGTGCCCTAAAATGCTCATATTAGCAAGACGATGGCCATGCCACAGCCACAAATACATACAGAATAGCAAAGAATGGCCTAACCACTGCTGAAACAAACATACAGCTTATTACTTACCACATAGCTAGCTGGATCTGGTTTCTTAGGTTTCAGGATCTATCATGCGGCAGCAAAGTTGAATCTGCAGGTCAAAAATATATAGTTATTGCTTTATGATAATCATTTAATTTATGATCACAAGCAGATTCTCTAGAGGCGGTCCCTTAACACAATTTCTTCCAGTAACTAGCTAGCTAGCTATCAAAGATGTAGCCCAGACACTGCAGTCTCACTAGCTGACGAAACTCAACTCCACGAGACCTCCGACTTCACATAAAATGAAGTTTTTTATAAAACACTACGGATTTCAGCACCCAAATAATAGCCCAAATTTAAAAAACACATGACATTGTCCTTTTTACATTTTACTTCACCCAGTTGGACTAGCTAGCCTCAATAACTAGCTACTACAGCAGTTTTATTATGTTTTAAGCTTGTTCCGCCCAAAGGAGACTACATCGCAAACTTGCTCAAGTAGCTAACTAACTTATATTTTTAAAAATCTGAATCAGGGGTCTTTTCACTCTCAATATTACAATTGTTCATAGAGAAACAACGAAAGTGGATGTTCTGAGTCCATGTTAATGCTTAAATCACATCAGAAGACAATTTTTTTAAGTTCTGGAAAAAAACATACAAATTTTGATTTTAAGTGTAATTCCCCCTTAATTGTGCATCTGTTGTCTATCAACAATGACAAGCCAACTGGGTCTGACAACTTGGATGGAAAATTACTGAGTATGATAGCGGACGATATTGCCACTCATATTTGCCATCTCTTCAATCTAAGCTTACAAAAAGCCTGGAAGGAAGCAAAAGTCATTCCGCTACCCAAGAATAGTAAAGCACCCTTTACTGGCTCAAATAGCCGACCAATCAGCCTGTTACCAACCCTTAGTAAACCTTTGGAAAAAATTGTGTTTGACCAGATACAATGCTATTTTACAGTAAATAAATTAACAACAGACTTTCA